TACATGTCTGGTACTTGAAGTTACCGTTTTATTGACAAATATAGTATATGTTCCTGTTGCTTCTTAAAATGATATCAGAAAGTGTTAGAACACACTTACTGAAGTTAGTATTCTGTTGCACTTTACCCTTACAATCGACACACTGTGCGATATTGCTTCTGTGGCTCTAAACTCTCATCCTGCAAAGTTAAAAATTTGTTTTGCTTTCACATTTAATTGAAATTTACTCCGCTTTGTTGGCGACGCCCGACGCCGTGTCGCCGCGACAAGTGGCGACTTTTATCATTTTAAAAGAGCCCGCCCGCAGCGGCCGTCGTGTTTTTGGGTGCCGCCAAGGCTGGAGCCTGGACCCGGACCCCATTCTTGTGTCGGGCCAGAGGCCGTCAGGCACTTTGCAGCAAATTAAATGCATTTTGCACGCACTCACTTTTATACAGACAAATAAACACACATACTGCAGTTATTTATGTGTGTTTGTCATTTAATTTTAAAAAGTTTCGCTTCACGAGATTTACAGCGCCCCGTTGCCTGAAGAGTTTGTGCAGCGCAGTTGACGCCTACGTCGACGCCAATGCCAACGCCAGCGTCAACGCCGCCGCCGTCGCCGTCGCCGCCTCACTTTTATTTAATTTAATTGAGAAGTCGGCCAAAAGACTTCATCCTGCCGCAAGGATCCTGTGTGCACGGACCAGGAAGGTGAGTTAATGGCAGCCATGGTGCAATCAATAAGAAATTTGTTTTTTAAATTAATTGAAAAACCCGCGCATCGAACGCCATCAGCAAAAACGAACGACCATGAAACGTCCGGTATTCAATTTCAGAAGAATAATATCGCGAACGTAGATGAGCACATAGCTATGAGCGTGTGTATACAAATAAGTATGTATACGAGTACAATGGATGTGAGAAGTTCATGGTTGCTTTTAAAGGAAGCAATCGGTAAAAAATGTCTCAGCACCTAATGGGGTCCCCAACTCGGAAAATACTTACAATTGCACAAGTTACTAAATTTAATTTATTAATTTAATGTTCCTTAAATGTTTGGGCCGTTTACACATTTAACTCATGAAATAAATATCCAATGATTTCTAACTTATTTATATTTATGCCCTGTATCCTAAGGAATTGCCTTAATTTTTGTAACAGTATTGATACACCGAGGAGATGAGCTGCAACTGCCGCTAAATCATATATTTTTCCTACTACTTGTCTCATTTGTGATTCCTGGTAAGCTACTATATGTAAACTAAGCAATAATTTCTGGAATATTTAGAGTGATATTTGGTTAAAAAAGGAGGCGCGATGCAATCGTGGTTAGACTACTTCTTAATTTTCTGGCTCTTTTAATATTAAATACTGATATAAATTCCATAGAAACATGATCTCAATATTGTATTTATAAAACCGTGAAGAACATACACATGCAAATATTTTTATCTGCATGCATATCTGAGGAGACACAAAATATACATGTTGTATGTTTTCCAGCTCTTGCGGTTTGATCAAGCGAAGTGACCACGAGTGCAGTTACTATATAAGTAAGGAACAAATACGATGTCAACTGCATATGAGGTTAATGTCACTGTCACCGCAGCCGGGAATCCCCACCCACTCGACCACTTGCCAGCCTGCTGTATCGCCCCCCTTTCCATCAGCCCCCTTTAACACGTTTTAAAACAGACGGAGCCACTGGCTCCGCACTCCTTTGAACAAAAGTGCAATGTTGTTTGTGGTCAAAAATAAAGATACAGCCAGTCAGGGCCTGCCAAACATGAGTCCCGGCTTGTGCGGTGTGCAGACAAGAAGGCTACCCGCCGACTATTCTGCTACTCTTTCCACCCACCATCACCCCCTCCTGGTCAACAATTTACAGACGGACAGGCATGGTTGCCCACATTTTACGCAATTTTGCACGGCAGTTTATGAAATTGCCAAGAAAGCAGCGAGGCAAATCAATGGACAGCTAAGAGCACAAAAGCACAAACAAAACAAACCTCGGACAAAGACCCAGCAAAGTGTACTGTCGGACAACAAAGTACAGTGGGTCGAGATCAGAATACAGACCGATTTTATTAAAAAATATTAATTATAGTGAATAGAAAAGGCATCACTAAAAGTCCCCAAGTATTCGAACTTTTCCGCTTTCTGTAGGACTTTTTATATTAACTTGATATATCAGCGAATGAAAATATGATTTTAAAAGCAAAAACAATTACTTATTATTTAATGCGTAGGACTTCGCATTTTCTTTCATGACATTAAATATAAAGAACAAATAAAGTGTTTATTGGTAGCTTACGTCTAGTACTACATGAACCTTGTATTAACTGACTGCTTCTTAAAAACAAATAATTTAATTATTTAAGTGACTGAACGCCGAAATACCTTTTAAAAATCAGTTCAAATTAATTAGCAGGCACAGAAAAATATCTTTCTTGCAAATGAGAACATATTACAGGGGATAGGCTACAATGAACTGTGCATGGCGACAATCTCTTCATTTATAGATTTCATTTCCACCTTTTCTGCAAAAATGGAAACTCTTTATGGTAGCATAATTAATTGTGGATAAGAACTTAAGAACACAGGTAAAAGGGTCCTTACCGGCCCCCTTTAAAATTTGTTTGAAATCCCGTATCCGAGTCACTGTGCAGCGTTGGTAAGGAGCAGATTTCAGGGCAAACAAAAATGCCATTTATTTGTTAATTTACGCATGCAACATCAAATATACGAAGTCGACAAAGGGCGCAGGTGTGCAAGGATGTGTATGGGTGGGTAGATCTCAGTAGGTATGGGTTTGTGGGTGTGTGTCTGATGGACACAGAACTCATCGCTCTGGAAACCCTTGTAAATGGGGAATGCGATGCGTTTTTAAGCCGCTTGTTTGTCGGTTTTGTAATCCGCTGCCGCTTCGTTGACTTGACTGCTACGTCTAGTTTATTAGCCCCATCGCAGCTAATGACTCCCACACACACTGGCCCAACCCTCGCCTGCCCAGAAAAAACAACAGCAGCACCAACAACACCAATGAGCACAACTCTCAACTTTACCGCTTTTGATTAAATAAACCGTGTGGCGGGCCCAGCGGCTTGCGCTTTTCTATAAACCGTTTGTTTGTACTCTCTGAGCTTCCCTTTTTGTTGTACGCTTCAATTGTTGTTGCCATTGTAGCTGCTGTTGCTGCCACTTCTGTTATTATTGTTCCCTTTATGTTTACTTTAGCCATACATATTTTGCCTTTGCCTTGCTTTGCTTACATTGTTTTTAACTTGTTGCCCAGAGTTGTTGTTACTGTTGCTGCATTTTTTTTATAATTTACATTGGCATTGTATAAATATTTAAACAAAAGTAGCATCTGTGCCTTTGACACGCCTCTACGCCCTGCCAACAACGCAGATATTGCCCAGTGATTTATGCCGCAACACTAAGAAAAATTTGTAAATAAAGGAGTTCCATTTAAAAGAAATTGTTATTTGGATCTTGATGGGGAATTAGCAAACACGCAAATCCAATTAAATGAGACAATACGGAAAACTTGGGTCTGGGCTTTAAATATTTATGCATTGTGTAGAATGATACACGAAACGAAAGACAAAATCTTGTTTGCTTTTATTTATTTATTTATCCTTATACTTATAGACTTTTGAAGATTTTTTATAGCTACTGCTGTTTCTTAGTATCTTTTAATACATATAAGTATATAGTAATATAGTAAATTCGTGTACTACTTTTTGTGGGGGGGGGGGGGGGGGGGGGGAGCCTTGGCCCCTTGAAGCTCAAAATACTTCGAAACTCAAAATACTTTTCTCGAAGTTGAATAAATAGTTATTGTAAGGATTCGGATTCACCATAAATTAAAGCAATACTCCCTGAATTGCAAACAATAAACAAGTATGGCTATCATCCGTGACTAGCCCTTTTTATTTTAAAGGCAAATAACCGACAAATAAGATATCAAAATTGGGAGAAATTCACGACATATCTGGTCCATAATTAAAAAGTGTTAAAAGATTACTTGTAAAAGCACTTTAAAAGAAATTTGAAACAAATAAATCAAGGACAAATTTCCATTATTAACGCTTGAAGTGCAAGTTCCGCAACCACCTTGTACCCCAAATTTTGGAAAAGATTTTTTTCTTAAATTTCGAAGAGATGTCGATTTTTCCTTTGCAAAGCACCAACAATAACAACAGCTGAAGGCATAGCTTAGGCAAAAATTACATATATGGCTATAACTTCTTTAACTGAGTGAAATGGAGCCAAATTCTGAAATAGAAATTTTGTGGGTATTCATTTAGGGCATCTTGGACTAAAATTGGGTGTTTGTAGTAGTTATGGTCTTCGAGATGTAGATGATTATACGAACGGCATTTTAATTTAATTAACTTTATTTATTTATTTAAAGTGTATATCAAGTGTATATAGTCTTTGCAATAGATACTCAATGGATAGAAATATAGAAATGCCTCAAATTATGTTATGCCTATAGGAAAATCGTGAAAGCCCCATAGCACACTGTGCTTCAAAGAGACATTTAAACCGTTTTTTCTGTTGTTATTTGCACACAAGTATGTACATATGTACTATATGATGTTTGTATGGTGCAATCAGAAAATTATATGTACAATAGGGTAATTCTATAGTTGCTTAACACGTTATCATCAGCAATTGGAATCTGAAATTGGAAATTTTCAGTTAAACTGTCACCTTTATGGTAGTGAAAAAAAAAAAAAAAATGTGGAGAAGCTGAAGTCGGATGCCCAGATTTTGAATTACTATACTCTGTACCTAGTGTAGAGTAAATATATAAATTTTAAAAATTAACAAAAGTGGATCGTAGGTCGACGCGTCTTAGCAATGATATAAATAATTTGTGGGGTCTGCCACGCGTATTAAAAAAATGTTCCGTTTTTTAACTTGCAAATATAAAATTGTATTTTTTGGTATTTTGCAATGTTCGTCAATTTAAAAAATTGAACAAATTTGATGATATAAATTAATTAAAAACTTATTTTAAATTTAATTGATAAGCCAAGCTGTGTATCTTAAAGCCATACAGGCGTGGAACAAATTGCTTAGTAGGAGGACTAGGGCGATACTCTGGACGAACCATGAAAAACATATGTGGAAATCCAGTACCAAAGTAGGCACCATCAGTGTTGTGGAATCGGGCCGATTCAGGTGTATAGACATCAACGCATCTCGGACAGTAGTTCTTCACCATTGCCTCACACGGAGTATCGGACAGTCCCAAGGGCAACATCGGCTGATTATCACAGTAGACTCGTGGACAGTATCCAAAATCTCCCATTTTATATTTATCCAGCATTTGATCGATGCCACGATTCGTTAAAATATATCTAGCGTGTATGAGGCCATAGAGCATCTCAGCCGACTGATCTGTTACATCAGTCTCGAACTCGTCCTTGGGCTCCAAGTCCAATATTATGCCTAAGGCTTCCCTGTAGTTGGGCACCACTTCGCTTAACCCAATCAAGTTGAACTTATCCTCAATGTAGTCTTCGTCAATTTTGCAAAAGAACTCATTGCCACGAATGCCGCAGAACCACGACATCCAGGAGACTTCATCGGTGCTGCTCATTTTGTTTGACATGCGTTCACTCTGCAAAACACGTTTACCGATTGGAAACGTTTGGTCATCAGGAAAATAGGCACATTATTTTATCACTGTAATCACTTCTATAATGCTAATATTATTGTGCTATTACCTTACGCTCTAGATTAGTTGAATGTTAATACATTAACAAAATTGTGTGTGAATTGTAGATTATGTCAAAAAAATGCCTACTTTGACATTTTACTTATGGTGCAAGTGGTGGGTTGTAGTGCTGGACGAAACATCGATACATCGATGCTATGATCGTTTTTTTAGGCATCGATGTTTTATTCTCGATGTTCGATGTTCTTAACCTGTCGACCACTGAATTTTTATTATTGTTTCTTATACTTTCTTTAGTGTTTGTTATATTCTTTGAATTTGTGAAAATATCGTTTGTTTTGAAACCTTTTGTATTTAGTACAAAAAATCGTAGCTTTTTAAATAATATGACAAAATTAAATGCAGTTCCCTATGTTTAAACATCAACAAAACATTTTTATAAATTCGTTCATATAAGTTCGATGCATCGATAAGTCGATGTTCTTCCCCGAAAAACATCGATGTTTCTCCAGCTCTAATGGGTTGTCGTGGTGACAGCCCGATATGTATTACCTATCGATATCGGTATCAGCGAAAATGTCAAATAAAAATCACGCATGTTTGTTGCGATTCCATGCAAAGTCTTTAACCGCTATTGTATCAATTTTTGTATACGCTTTATAGATAGAGCACATCTTTTACCAATTTTTTTTCAGTTCTTGACTTTTAAAGACAAAAAAGGGATAAAAAGGTTTAAGAATAAGGTTACGATGAAATGCTCACCGCTGTTTTTTTTTACTCAAATGTTATTTATACATGTTTTTTATACATAACATAGTATGGACTGCTTCAGATAGGATCAGGCCTATCTCATCATATAATTATATCTTACCAATCCACTGTATGTGAACAATCATTGCAAAAAGAGCACCATAATCGTTACATTATATTTTGCTTTACTTGGTGTTGCGTCTATGATTGGCGGCCCTTATCAGATACTACTTCAGGAAATTTTATTGACTCTGTTTAAAGCGGAGCTTGCAACTTCCAAAAAAGCCTGTGCTCGACTGTTATCTGAAATTTCTGAATAGAACACGTGCTAAGAAAAAATCAAATAATATGAAAAGATCATTGCTATGAAACTATTATTAGAATACTATAGAAATACGTCGTATCGATACAAATTCGTGTGGTTTGTTGTAACACTAATGTAATATTTTACCAGTATTCATTTTGGAGCTCTAGCCTACCTGGATCTGCAACGTGTTTCTTTTGAACTTAAAACGAGTAACTTCGACTATTGGATATTTTTCAAAGCAGCAAGTAGTCATTTAAATGGTATACTAGATTAGAGTAAACGAATGCAACTCCCTGAAGGTAATTTGACAGGATTTTATTTATTTATTTATCAACAAACAATGTTGTCACTGTAAATAAAACAAAATCCATTCAATAAAAAACTTTAAGTAAATAAAATTCAATAGTAAAAAAGCATATACAATTACAATAATATCTAATAATTAATCAGACTCGGTGGGAGAATTTTATTTGCCAAACAGCCTATACCCTGATTCCCAGCACAGAGTAGTATGTGAGACGTTGTTAGAACTAACCAAAGAGAATTAGAGATGAAAAATTAACAAGTGGAAAAGCTAAAGTAGATTAAGAATAAATATAGAAATTTAAAAAAATAAAAAAAAATAAAATTGTAATATTACAAAAAAGTTTGTTGATCGATACCCTGATGATCGATATACCCTGATTCCCAGCACAGAGTAGTATGTGAGTCGTTGTTAGAACTAACCAAAGAGAATTAGAGATGAAAAACAAGTAGAAAAGCTAAAGTAGATTAAGAATAATTATAGAAATTTAAAAAAATAGAAAAAAATAAAATTTTAATATTACAAAAAAGTTTGTTGATCGACTTTGCATTTAGATTACATTTATGTCTATAGCTTCATTTCAAATTTATCTCTTTTTAAAAAATTGGCACACAAACACATAATTGCTAGCTGGAGGTATATTCTAATTTTAAAAATTACGTGAGTTATGGAATTTCAAAATGTCTTGCTGCATAGTGCAGTGCTTAGTTTGGGCACAGATTACATATATGGCTATAACTTCCTTCAAAATTCACCTATGTTGAAACTCAAACAAACATTATCACTAAAAACCATACATTTTGGCCAAATTTGAGTCAAAACGTCCAAGATATACGGGAGTTATGGAAATCAAAACACAATACTCGCACCGCACCACATAGGATATACAAAGTCATCCAAAAAGCCATGACATGCAAAACGTACATGAACTGATTGGCCATACACAAATTTAACCATATTTCTTCCAGTGTATTGCTGATTTTCTCGTGAATAGAGCTGGCAGGCAATAGCAGTGACCGTAGAGGCAAGTGGTTCGAGTAGTGCGTTTTGCCGCGTCTTGTTTGTGCAAATGCTTTTTAAACAATTGCATGCCAGCGGCAGCACGGATCCCCAGAGATTAACGTGACTAGCACATCAGCGGGGGCTCTGAGTGTGAATATGTACGAGTATGTGTGTACTCGTATGTGTGGGTGCGTGTGTGATAACATGTTAGATAATCCAATTAATATGCACACAGAGGCAAAGCCAACAGCAACAACAATGGCCAACTAACTGCTGCCAACAGCCGCCTGCCACCATTTTGAATTTTTGTTAACCGGAAGCTTGTACGTCCGCTTGGTAAGCAGAAGAAAAGTAAGCGCGCAAAGAGCTTGGCATGCAAACAAATGAAATAGAAGCAGAAACGGCTGTGGCAGTGGCAGTGGCTCTGGAGGTAACTGCGTTGTTCAAACATTCATGAACTGTGCCCAGTGGTGGCAGCGACTGCAGGAGCCAACATGTAGGCAGGTTTGTTCTTCCTATCCGGCGAAAGTAGTAAGCTTCCCTTGGGACGCATACAAGCAGCGCCTCACACCAAAACGCACATACACTGCGCTTCATCAGGTTAGCGCCCCCCTTTGTGTTCTCACTTAATGTTGAATATTTTATAAGCCATATGAAATAGAGTCTTATAATTTTTATTCATTAAACTTTTATCTATCCTTTTTAAGAAAAAACAGCAACAGCACCTGTAACATTTTGCAAAAGGTTTTTTTAAATTTTTTTATTAAAGTATACAAAAATAGCGTGGCTTAAATTTGGTCATCAGGATAGCGCCCCCTACACTAAATTCATTTTTTTTTCAATTTTTGAGCTACAAAAGTTTGTCATAATGTATTTATTTTATTCTTTAAATATTTTTAAGCAAAATTAATAGTGTGTAGTCCCGCCTTTGTTAACAATAACTTCATAGATTCGATTGGGTATTGAATCATACAGTTTTCCAATGTTATTTAAGGAAATGGTGGACCAAGCGTGTTTTATGCCTTCGATTAACTCCTCCTTTGTTTTATATTGTTTTCCGGACTCGTACACTTTTCTAGCCAACCATCCCCAGACGTTCTCAATGATATTTAGATCAGGCGAGTATGGTGGCCACTCAAGGATATCTACTTTTTGGCTTTGAATCCACGTTTTTACGATTCGGGCTGTGTGGATTGGAGCATTATCGTGCTGGAACCGCCATACCAGATTTCTTAATGTAGGGAAACGCAGTTTTTAGAACGCTGGTGTAGTTTTCCGCATTCATCCGTGGCGTTAAAAACTGCAGTTCGCACGTGCCATAGTAGGATACGGCACCCCACACCATCACACCCCCCACTCGGCTATGGAGGCGGGCCAAATGATGCTCATCCTTACGGAGATCGTGGAAATAATAATTATAGCCATCGGGCCCTTCCAAATTAAATTTCTTTTCGTCTGAAAAGACCACATAGCGCCACTCAGAAGTCCACGACATGTGCGCGCGAGCAAAATTTAAGCGCATTTCTTTTCGCACCTTATTAAGTGGAGGTTTCTTTTTCAGTTTTTGTCTTTGTAAGTGTGAAGCTCCCTTTATAACTCTTTGGACCGTTGATAAGCTCGCCTTAACACCAGTTTTTTCTCTTATATGGGCGGAAGAGTCGTGCGAGTTTGAGGCTTCTCGTAGTATGGCTCTTCTGTCTGCTTGTGAAACTACTTTTTTCTTGCCGCCTTTGAAGTTATTTCCATAACCCTTTTTATTTCGAAGGAAACTGGAAATCGTTTTTCTATGTCTTCCTATTTTTTCTGAAATTTTATGTATTGATAGCCCAGACTCAGAGTAAGCTTCAATTTTTGATTTTTCCTCAGCTGATAAGACTGTTCTTTTTCCCATACTGAGCCTCAATTAAAACGAACAAATCAATTAAGTAACAACAAAAATTTGGTGTCCGTACGTGCCAAATTAAGCGAGATAACTAAAATTGTATTTGGGGGCGCTAATCTGATGACGCAAAATAAGTGCAAGCTTTTTCGTCGAAAATAAAACAAATCAACAAAATCATATAACGGTTCTTCTGTCGGGCTTCATTTTTTTCTCAGGGAGAGCACATAACTGTATCGTAAACACACAAAAATAATACGAAGTTTCAAGCAAATGAAAAAGAGTTATGACCAATAACAAATAAATACGTTGGGGGGCGCTAACCTGATGACGCGCAGTGTACATCTTACATGCATACCTACACCAACGCAACGGGTACACATTAAGTTGTCCACATGTATGGCTCAACATACTCTCTCGTAACTATATAAGTAGAAACAATGCTCACCTGCGCGGCGGCGCACTGCATAAAACTAATTTGCGGTTTGGCAATTATGCAGTAAGTTGCCTTCCTTCCAACTCCTAATTTCTTCATTTGCCCGCATGAGCTTGTTCTCGAATGCAAATACAGCAGCAACGACTTCATCTGCTCGCCTCTTGCCAGGAATATGATTCCTTAGTTTTGAGCCGGCCCCTTGTCACCATTCAAATTAGTGGTGGGTGCGTGACCTCACTCATCCTTAGAATAATTCAAGCTAATATGCACCCAGCTCTTAAATACTATGCCAGATATATATAAAACTGCAAAGATACAAAAGACAAAGCTATTTACCCAATGCGAATGAATAAGACAAGTTTCATTTTCACAAGTTTCATTCCCATAACTACTACTAATTTAAATTAATAATTACTT